GAAAGAGGTGTGTTTTTTAGTTATCAAATAACAGTCAAAAGTATCATTATGGCATAAATATTCACACTTAGTTGTGTTTTGGAGAACTGGTCTCAGCTGGAAAGGTGTTAGAAATACTTTATTAATAGGAACTGCGCTCGTTAACTCAGCTGCAGGTAGGCTCTGGGAATCGAATGGTATTAAGACCTCTTAGGTGCGGGTGCATGTATTTTGATATTGACACTGTTAGTGAATTATTTGAGCACTTTCTGATACTGTATTCAGTAATGATTAATGTCTGTGATGTCTGCTATGTCTGTTTCTCATCCTGGTGATGAGAAGCATGTGTCTTGAAATTTTAATGGTACCTATGCATAAAGAGGAACTTACGCTATAGCTACAGAGGAGCCCTAAAACATGCACTTGCTTTCATAAGCCATACTGAAGCTTAACGAAAGACACTATCCACGCTTACACTAAAGCGAATGCTAGTGATAACGAGTTCAGCAGTTCTGATCAATGACTCTGCCTAACAAGGATGCTTTTCTAGGAGAACCATTCCCAGTATTGATTGAACCACCTGATAACCGCATTCAAGCTAACTGCGGTTATATACTCTTGGTTGTCAGCTCCTTAGGCTAAAGCTTTTAGGGGAACTGTTAAACAAATACAACCTATACTGGAGGAAGATACTGTTTTGAAGGAAACTTTCCCAGCCTCCACCAGATGTACACTGATGGAAAAAGGGGGAAAGAAGGGAAAAAACCCCTCTCCTTGTGAACTGCTCAGCTGATGGGTTGCAAGTGACTGTGTGAGAGGAAGGGAATTAATGATTGCTGTGATTAGTATTTAGAAGACTGATAAATCAGGCTAGTTTTAATCTTTAAAACAAAACTTCAGTAGACCAACTTTCATTACTGACACACTTCATGCTAATGGTTTGCTTTACTAATTGTTATTGTTATGTATTCAAAGTGGTCAGTCCTTAACAGTCATATCCTACATGAGCTGCGAGGACAGGATACCATGGTGGTGATGCTGTTTAGTTGGCACCAGTAGCCACTATTCTTGGTGGTCTGAGTCAAAGATGTCAAAGCGAGCAGGCTCAAGAGCTCTTAAATAAGAAGCTTGGCCTTTTTAGAAGGTGTTTTTCTTTCTGGACTTCTCCTGCCCCTTGACCTCTGCTCCGGACTGTATGCTGTGTGACACTTGGAGAGGCATTACTTTTCCAGATGATGGCGGATACCTTATCCTGTTGCTTACCTGTTTGTTATTTTTTCCCCTTCCTTAGTTGCTACTGCATTTTCTTAAAACAAAATCAGTCTTTTCCTAGCTCTTAAGGTTGTGTGTCCTTAATGCTTTCTTCCTCAATGAACTGCTTGTGTTTCAGGGGCATTTGTTTTCAACTTGTGTCCCTATTTTCAAGGTCTTTGCTGCTGTTCTGTGATTAAACTCCACATCATAAAAGGAGATCTGTGGCACCAAATTCCTGTTCACATACCCAGTTCTAGCAAGAGGCTTAAACATCTGGGACTGGAGCCTTGCACAGTTAGCATACAACTTATGGCTTCTTGTTAGCAATGACAGTACTATTTTCACTGAATATTAACTGAAAGGCCTCTGCTTTAGCTGTAAACTGTTTCCTCAAAAATCACTGTCCTCTGTGTTTTCATCCTCGGTGTCATGCACATTTAATAAAGTTACCTTGCGGCTGCATGAACTTAGACCACTTACTGCACCCCCAGAATGAATTCTTAATCCGTAGAGGAAGGAAAGGGACAGGTACCAGTGAGAAAATGTTTTTCAGCAAAGCATACTCTTCACTTCTAACCTCACTTGAATTCTCCAGAGAGACTAATAACATCTGTTCAAAAGATGAGCCTTAAAATTCATAATTCTCATTAAATAGCAAGAAGCGTGGACTAAGTAGATCATTCTGGTTTTACTATGTTGTTGTAATTCCCTGTCACTTTCCTCAGCACTTTTCCCCTCCCAAGTTTATGCTTAATAAATTATCTTTTGTGTTTCACTCGGTTCCAAAGGAGAGGCGATCACATGGCTCACACTCCTTTATCTGCTCTACAAATGCTGAATTCAGGGTTGTTGATGGGTTTTGTTTTGTGGTTTTTTGTTTGTTGTTGTTGTTGTTGTTTTAAATCAGTCTAATTGATTAAGATATTAATTAAACTCAGCATAACTGTTGCTAGTTTTGAAGTCTTCATGTCCAGCTTTGAACCTGGAGAAGGGCTTTTATGTCGGAGCTTTTACAGTTTTTCCACTGATATTAGTTAGCCTGAAAGAAGGTATGGCTTTTCCTTTGTAACCTTGCTTCTTTTATATGTTTGAATCATTGCACTACATTCTTACTGTATTCCTTCTGAATGAAATATTTAGGAGCCCTCCATGTGCCATGCTGTGCCATGCCTTTATGTACTTAATGTCTCATGAAGTTGCTGCCCTATTCAGACTGTGTCTGCATCCATCTATAAACTAATTTGGCTGTAGTGGGTATTCTACATTTAAAGGCATGTCTCAAAACTGCTCTTTACGGTCTTTAACTAATAAGCAATCAGTTCCCCAAACCAGTACAAAATTTAATGGATTTTCTAGCATTGTTTGATTTATTTTCCGTAATTGCTTCACTGACTGATGCATCCCTACTGAAAAACACAACTTGTGTAGTTGTCTGCAGATATTATAAAAATTATGCATCTCATTACCATAAAATATTTTTAAACCAAACTTATTAAAGTAGTAATTCTGTTATTTAATTTGAAGCTGTCTTCAGATTTATTTCTACCTTGTGATGTTACTCCTTGTTCTTCATCTTTTAGC